GAAGAAAAGTACAAAGATCAGTGTTTACAGAGCCGTAGTGCTGTCCACTTTCTTATACGGCTCTGAATCATGGGTCATCTACCGCCACCACCTGCGTCTCCTAGAATGCTTCCATCAACGCTGTCTCCACACAATCCTAAACATCCACTGGTTAGATTATGTGACTAATACATCTGTTCTAGAACAAGCAGCAGTCACAAGTACTGAGGCCATGTTGCTGAGAACACAGCTGCGTTGGACAGGGCACGTCTCCAGGATGAAGGACCACTGCCTCCCTAAGATCTTACTTTATGGCGAACTTGCCACCGGCTGCTGCAAGAAAGGAGCCCTAAAGAGGACTCCCTGAAACAACATCTCAGCCTTGGCCATATTGATCATCATCACTGGTCTACTCTGGCCTCCAATTGGGAGGCCTGGAGACACACTATCTATAACGCTGTTGATGCTTTTGAGAACGCACGCAGGGTCACTCTTGAGGAGAAAAGACAACACAGAAAGAATTGTGCCTTGCAGAATATACCACCTAAGGAGTCTTTCTGCTGTGCCTTCTGCAACCGGACGTGTCTATCTTGTACTGGCCTTTTTAGCCACCAACGCGCTTGCAACAAACCTGGGTAGAGCCCTTCCCAAATCTTTGTTTGCGAAGCCTAGCCATGAGATGAGACTTCTAATTGGATGTGGCTAAATATGATGATGCACAATCTTTAGGGTCAAATTCAGGCAAGTATCTCATGTTTAACTAAAGAAAACTGAATTATTTTTCTTTTCTTTTAGACAAACTGCAGATCATTTTTCTGTCTTTGTCACCTGAAACCATAATGAATTCCCTCTGTACATTTGGGTGGCATTTTCCTGCTGTTACTTATACCAAATGAAGAGGAGTCCAAATGTCTCTTTCAGGACTCTTGTGGTAGGTCACTGTGCATAGATGTGGTCTGAATTGTTTGTATGCTGCATACAATAGAGTCCTGAAGTGCTTTGGTGTTTGAAGAAAGCTGTTTACCACAGCAGTTCAGAGGATTCCTGCAGGTCCTTGACCCCTTACAGAAAATTAACCTTAAATGTTTCTATGCACTTTATATCTACATTCTATTAATTTTCCATTGCCCCATTTAAGTTAAAGAAATTTCTTGTAGGATTACATCAGTGATAAAGGTGGTACTTGTACAAAAGAAACGTGGTGTAAGATTCTGGTTCTATGAAGCATTTAACTTTGTTTTCAAGTTAAATAATATAAATCTTTGCTGGTTTCTATTTTAAGTCATTATTCTATAGCCAGATATTGCTGTATTTATACCCTGAAAAGCAAATAATGGAGAAACAAAACTAATGTATCACCTACAAGCATTTAAGGAACAAGTTAAAATAAATAAAAATAGTAATAACAGCAAACTGTCTACAGTATTTTAACACAGACATTTATTTGCCATGTACTTTTAAAGACAGTATGGAATAAATAATTTCGAAGAATCACAGGGTCTGCATTTTTCAATTCCTTTATAAAGTAATGTTACTAAGGTTTAGTTGCTTTTCAACCAGCTAGAAACAACATCTTTGGTTTTCTCCTGTTGGAGGAGGAATGCAATATCCATGTGGTCATATTCTAGAGTAATCCACTAGCCATAAATAAATATTGTGTTGTTGAGTCTATGATAGGTGTAAATGAAAAAGCCTAGATGTGTCATGTAGTCTGTACAGAAAAAGGACAGAGCAGCAGATATGAGCTTAATCGAATGTGTATAATGATAAAATTTTATGTTTGATATGAAAGAGTAGTCTTGAGAGCAAATTTCAGAAAGGTATAAATCATCAGATCCAGTAGCAGGGAAGACAGAGGTATTCTGTGTAAAATTCTCAAACTCGAGAGATATTTTTTCCATCGAAGTTGCTGGTGTGCAGACAATTAACCTCAGTATGCATTTCCTGGTGGTAGGAATGAGACCTGCTTCCTGCCAGGGGGAGGTTTGGGGTGGGATAAATTTTTTCCTTTCATATATAGGTAGAAAACAGAGCAAGAAGATATTATACAGTTTTACTTCAATGATGCTACACATTCCCATAACAACCTATCTGAGCCGGCACAATCAGTCCTGTATGTGCGCTGAAGGTTCAAGATCAGCTTAACTCAGCCTGAGACAAGTGAGTCTGTCGCTGGTCTAGCTGAAAACCTATCACACTTTGATATACTTCCCTTTGGTTTCCAGTTTTATTCTGCAGGCAGATCTACTCACCGACTCATTTTACCCAGAAGCCACACAAACAATAAAGCTGATGGTAAGAAAGTGACAGAAGGAAGAACAAATGGAAGAACTGATCTCTGCAGTAGAAGCACAATGTTAAAATCAGTTTAATCTAACTACAAACCCACACACTTTTTACTTCTGTGGAAAAAATTCTCTGTCTAATCCTTTAGTCTATCTGCCTGTTTGCTACAAAATGCCTACAAATCTACGTCATGAATGTCCCTGTCCCAAACACAGTAGGTGAGGAGGGAGGTGGCTGCTGTAGTGGTCCTTTCTCAGTGAAATCTGAAGGTAAGGTTAAAAAAATTCTTGAGTCCATCCATTGTAATTTTATCACAGTGATCTGTTTTTCTTAGCATTTCAGTCCTGTGTGTTCAAAACCTAAATGTGGTGGTGTTTTTTTTCTTTTGTAGTTGTTATATTTGCTTAAAAGCTCACAAGGAGCGTGCCTTTGTCCTAACCATTTTATTTCAGTAAAATACAGTAGGGTTGGATTAAGATGCATTTTATATACATAAATGTTCCTTTTAGATAGTCAATAGTAAATGGACGGAAATGACATTTTACCACCATTCTTATTTTTGTAGCACAGATAGCCTTTTCTTTTACTGCCGTAGGAAAATTTTGGAATCTTTTTTATTCTTCTATATTGTTCGTGACAAGTGTAGTCTATTTACAGGGAGGTGCTGTTTTGTAACACCAGGTGCAATTTTCTAATGCTAGGATTACTGAAAGGGACAGAAAAGTAATAGGTATTTTTATTCTGCTTCTCTACTTGTGTTTCACACTTGACAGCACTCCATGCATAGTTCATTCAATTTTCCCCTGGGTAGCCAATCAATAAGCCGATTTCCTTTGATGTTTGAGTCTTCTGCTCAACAACAGAGGAAAAGAAAAATATTTCAATACATAGGAAAACATGCATATAAGCTCACAAATATTGACAGGAAGACTCAAAGGCAGATGGGGTATCAAAAATTACAACTCTGTAGAAGACACACACTAGGCATGTGCAGGGACAATGATGGTAACTGTCCATTATCCTACCTTTCTACTATAGGTATTAATCATGGTTTAACATATTTTGGAAAGATGAATCCAAGTCCCATGTTTGTTAATAGAACTGGTTGAATATTTGCTGGTTTTCAAAAGTAGTTTAATATGGAATCCTACCTGCTCTCTTCACTTTCTCTCATGTCTTCATTTTGGCAATACCACTGTGTTTGTCACATTACACACTTTGCCAGTGAAATTGCAGGCAAATGTACATAAACAAAAATGAGCATTAAATCCATATTCTTTGTTCTACAGTGGATATTAACACCTAGTGTGACAAAGTTATGATATAGCTTTCAATCTTTGATACCGCTGCATTAAAAATATGTTGATCATGGTAATAAACATAACAACATCCTGCTCTCTAGAAAAAGACTTCTAGTCTATCCATTTGTGCCAATATGAAAAATCGCCTATACACATGTATTTTTCCAGTGTTTTCTTAAAAAGTCATGTATAATATGGATCCACCATCACTCTGGGCAATCAGTTCTAATGCTTTCCTCTCCTCCTGGTAAGGAATTTTTTTCACTCAGGAGGGTGAATATTGCTCCTGGGACTTCCTACACCACTTATTTTCACCCTGATCTTCAGTCTCAGTCTTTGCATGTGGAGCGCAGACAGCTGTACACTGTTGCCGCAAAGTGTTCACAGCCCGCTCCCTGGGACAAGAGTAAGGAGGGATGCAGTGATCTCCGGGTGTTCATCGGGCCTGTTGCAACCTGTTCTGAAACAAGCAATTTCATATTCTCTCCCTTGTCCTCACCTCTCATAAAACACTATCTTCTGAAATAAAGTGCATGCGTGAGAGTCACTATTTTTATTTTTCTCTTCTAGGGGGAAAAAGAGCCCTGTTGTACGGAGGCTTCCTAGCCTTGCCTGCGGCGGGGGGGTGGTTCCGTGCCTCCCCTCCTCCGGCTCCGGCCGCTGCGTGCGGCGGGGATCGCCCTCCCCGCACCCCACGCCTCCGGTTATTGATGGTGGCGGCCGCCGCCCGCCCCGCGCCTCCTGCCGCGCCCGCCCGCTCCCCCTCTCTCCCCGGCACTGCCGCAGAGGCTCCACCGCAACGCGAAGCCCACACAGCCGCTCCGGTCCGCCCCTTCTCTGGTCTGTCACGCTCGGCGGCTCCTCCGGGAGGCTCCTCGCTCCCTCCCGCAGCCCCACGCCGCGAGAAGGAGGCAGCGGCAACGGCAGCGGAGGGAAGTGCCGCGGCTCTCCGCTGCCTGCCCCCGGTAAGTGATGCTCCGGGCACTCGGGCTGCCGCGGCTGCTTCCCCGCAACTTTTCCTTTTCCTTTTTTTTTTTTCCCCTTCTTTTTTGCATGCTTGATTTCAACTTTTCCACGTAACTTAACAAGGGGCTTGCTCACCGGGGGGCGCGGGGGCAAAGCTTTCTTCGGGGCAGGTCGAGCGCTGGACGGGAGCGCGGGGTTCCCCTTCATCTCCGCGGTGAGCGTGAGCAGTTTGTGCTCGGCTGCTGCTCACTCCAGCTCCATCCAGATCTCGCTCGCTCTTTGCACAGAGAGAGCAGGTTGCACAGATCCGAAGAGGTGTGAGCGTCTAATCTCTGCTTTAGAAGCTGACTGGCATATTAAAGCTGGCAGAACTTTTGCACGCTAGGGGAGCAAAAACAAGGGGTGTCGAGGTTCGCAGACTCCAGATGCTTGAAGAAAACAAGTTTGCAGATGTCCTAGCAGTAAGGATGGTGAGGAAAATCAAAGGTACACAAAGGTTGTCAATTCCAGCTCCTCAAGGAACCAACACTTTCTAAGATCTGTTAAGAAGGGAACAGGCAGGGTTTCATACCTTGCAACAGAAAAGGAAGGGGAAAAAAAAAAGGAACGAATGAAAGAAAGAAAACAAATTTAAGGCTTTTTGAAAACACCGTTGCTTTTGTCACTGTGGGTTTCCTTCAAGGATTGTAGCTCACACTGACTGCGTTGGGAGAATAGTTTAGCATTCGTGACCCGTGACGGGGAACGGGGGACTCCCTCTCCTGCAGCTTCAGGAGAGGACTTTTCCAAAACACACCAAGTTCCTGCTTTGCGGGGTGCTTTGGGAATTTAGGTCCCGAGACGCCTCCGATAGTATATGGGGAGGGGAGTGTGGAGAAGTCACAGTCAAGAAAAGTATAATCCAAGTCCCAGGGTTAGGAAGAGCTGTGGGATGGTGAGTTCTTTTGAGGCAACCCCCGCCTCATTTAAACAGTGTTGCAGGGTAGAGGAGGCATAGGAGCTGGTCTGGCAGTGCTGAGGGGAGGCAGGACACCGCAGGGACTGGAGGGCTGGGTAACATGGAGGTAATTGAACATGGAGGTCACTGATTAGTCTTGGGACCCTAATCCTGCAAAGCAGTGTGGATGCAGTGTGAGTAGGGGGCGAGGGTGGGAGCTGAGTCATGCTCGCTGGGGCGGCCATGGCACATCTGTAGAGAAAGGAGGGGGCTGAGGAAAGAAGGAAGAAATAAGGAAGAAGCACATAAAGACAGGTGGAGAGAAGGAAGAACGTCTCATGGAAAGATGCTGAGATCACCCAAAGGCTCCCCTGTGATTGACGGTATCCTTCTCTCCTTTCTGTAAAGGATTAGGACGCTGATGAGTGTATCTCTGATGTAGGGGGGGCTGGATTGCAACACAAGAGAAACCTATTCAGATAAACACACTTGGTACTGCTGGTACTTCGGCTGCATTGCACTGCAGTGCAGGGAGCTAAGAGCAACTTCTGCCTTAGGAGAGAGAGGGAGCTGCTGAATTGAACTGTAAAGGTGGCACAAACAATGCCAAAAATTACTGCTTCACAAGGGAATTGCAGATAGAACTGGAAGTAGAGCTGTAAGAAGAAATTAGAAGGACCTTCCTGATGAATTTACAATTAACGAAGAGGGGTTTTAGAAAAAAAAGAAAACAACACTCAGACCAAATAAAGGTCTCTGATTAGATTCATTGTAAATAGTATACTTCTGTTGGAAGTTGTTTTCCTCCAAGTGCTCCATGTGAAAGAGTCTCATTTTAACTGTGCCATATATCCTCCCAAATAGAAGTTTTACAGTGATTGTTCTTTTCATGGACTGAAGTGAGAACAAAAACTACCATTTTGCTGTTTTGTTCAATATTCATAGTTTTCCCTGTAACTGATCTTTTATTCAGTATTTTTGTAGAGAACAAGGCACCATGGTAAACCAGAGACCCCATTCTTTCCCTCTCACCTAGAATTTTCTGCAATTTACCTAAATTTTCTTTAGTGTTTTGGTGGGGTTTTTTATCTGTTTCCACAATGTGGAAGCTAGAAGAATTGGTTTTCTGTATTACAAAAAATGCAGAATCCACCAAGAAAAAGCCATAGTAAATTCCAAGTGCAATTTTATTTAAATTTTATTTAAATTTGGAGGAAGGCTTTTCATAGGCCAAATATTTAGAAAAAAGACAGTCTGTCAGTTAAGACTATTGACACACATCGAGCCTTCAAACATCTTGAAATGCTACTTGAAGAAAAAGAAGAAACAATCAAGTAATGCCTTCATTTCTGAAGCTGTATTCCTACTGCTTTTTCAATAAAGATGACTCTGAATATCAGTGGCACAGACTAGACACAGACTTTCTCTGATGGCAACTTGATGTTAAATTACATGTCACTGCTTTCTGGAAAAATAGATTTGAATTTGACCAAATGAGATAAAATCAACTGTTTTCAGATTTTATACCTGAGAAATCTAATTTATTTTCAATAATAAAGAAAAAGTGTTAGTCAGTTCTGAGCAACATGCAAGAAAGATGTTTGCAACAAAGGAAAATCACATGAAGAATTGTTATGTTTGCAAAATATGATGTTACCTCAGGTGATAACATGAAACCTATAATTCAGTTTGTGTCTGCATGAGCGCATAAGATTGTGTAAGTTGCTTACAGTAATGGAAGATTTCAAATTAGTTTTTTTAAATTGTGTGTTCCAAAGCACAGAGGATAAGTATTTATTCACACTGGTTCTGATCATTCTATTAAAATCAGTGTGAATTGAATTGTAGGTTTCAATGGGAACTGGAGTGAGCACAGCTATATAATAATTAAGGGACTTTGGTTAGGGGTTTTTTGCTGTTTTTGTTGTTTTGTTTTGTTGTTGCTTTTTTTATTTGTAAAAGTACATTAATAAAGATATTTTGCATTCTCAGTCATATAAAAGTTGTTTTAACATCACAGGCAGATCACTTGGGCTGTATATTGCTCTGAATCCTTGAAACCATATGCGTCACAGGATGCATATCAATGAATGTTTAAACAAAAGCTCATCAATTAGATTAGATGTGTTTGCAAACCTGTGATAGGGAACCCACAGCTGCTACCACCACTTTTGTATTATGTAGTGCATAACATTTTCCTATCAAAACAGAATGGCATCCCTTATAAAATGATTTAGAGGACTAGATTTACAACTTGTCTTCTTTTAAGTGTTTGTAAGCAGTATAATGGAAAAAATTAATTGGAATTGTGCTCAAAGTATTGACACTGGGAAGAAACTGTAGTTAAATTTCTCTTTTAAATTAACAGACTGTTTCAGTTTTGAATTAAATATTATATATTCTCTAGTATCTATGTTAAAAAACATGGTGGGCCTTTTTTTCCTTAAAACAATGGCTGAAAACCTAAAAAGCTTTTATTCATCTTTGATTTTGTGTATTGCTACATGTGCTTCTAGAGACAGTTTAAACATGCAGAGTACCTATTCTTGTGTAAATATATATGATGCAGGTCAGTGATACATTAGTCATGTTTTTTTTCAAATTACCATTGTTATGTCAACAAAAGATAAATGAGTTGGATTAAATATAATCAAATGCAGATTTTTTTTGCATGACTATGATTGAAGCTGTTGTCCTCTTGTTAAAAAAGAAAGGGCGTAATGCAACACCGAGCACATCCTTTCCTTCTCTGTGGTTCCAGCTCTCAGTCATTTTCGCACCCAGAGAGGCTAATAGAAGTTTAAATGTTGCATACACAATGAATGAAATTGCTTAAAGCTAAAGTGTAATACACTGTAATACAATTAAGATATTATTAGCATCTTTTCATTTTTAAGACTAAATTCTTACCTCTGTTTATCTGTATTTCTGCTGACCAACTGCTGACAGTAAAGACTTGCCATGCGTCAACAAAATGATTAGGTGGGCATTTCATCCACATATTTCTAATTGAACTAAAGATGAACCATATTAAAAATAGAAACGACATCTACCACATATTATAGCTGGTTCAGTGCACAAGGCATATAGCTTTATATTGATCTGGGACTCATGAAAAATATGGTGTTGTTGTAGCTTCATGTTTCCTTGCCAGCTGAAATGTTTGGTTTTTTTGGTTTTTAGTTTGTTTTTTTTGTTTGTTTTTTTTTGTTTTGTTTGTTTGTTTGTTGTTGTTGTTGTTGTTTGGATTTTTTTAAGATAAAGCAGCATCCCTGTATCTGTCTCTCTCTGCAGGTTATCTTTGTGGTCATGGCTGTGTGGGTCTAGTTATGTACTTTGTTCTAAAATGGTAATCTGTGTCTCACAAGCGTGTCTTGAATTTTGACTGAATATCCATGTTTCAATTAATACAGTTGGTAGCAGCATTAAAAGCATCCTGCAGGATTTTTTCCCCCTTTAGTGATCATTTGAAGGTTTGTGTATGAAAAAGCTTCATGAAATACATCATGAATACTAATTATTTAATCACTATTTTACCATTTAACCATGGTAACCATGGAATGGAGAGATGACTTTGCTTATAGCAGCTTATAGGGCCTCTGGGTCTTTAAATGGCACCATATTCATTCCCTGTAGAGCTGGAGGATAAACTTCCCTTTCTGAAAGTGTAGCAGTGCTTACCCCAAGAAGGTGGTTTCAGAAACTGGATCCACCACCCCCACTTCCCTTGATGATGTGTAGGTTTTGCTTTTATCTGGGAATCCCAGCCATTGCTGCAGCCTTAAAAATGAAGTGGTACTGTACTGTTCTAAGGCTGAGAAATGAGCAGAACTGTCCATGAGCCAGCAGTGTGCTCTTGTGGCCAAGAATGTCAATATTATCCTGGAGTGCCTTAGGAAGAGCATTGCCAGCAGATTGTGAGAAGTGATCCTTCCCCCCTATTCAGCCTCAGTGAGGCCACATCTGGAGTACTGTGTTCAGTTCTAGTTTTAAGAGAGACATGGAACCCCTGGATTGGGTCCAGCAGAGGGCTACAAAGATGATTAGGGGACAGGAGCACCT